TCAAATAGAAACCCTAGGAGCTTGAATGTGAGGAAAGTTCCTTTCAGACTTGAGATTCATAAAATTGGAGCTGAAAGAAAGCTGAGAAGTCACCTTTATTGGTGATTTTCTACTTGATGGGGGCCATTTGTATAATTGCACTTGTGCTCTGCCTCCATGTTCTGTTACTCCTTGGGACAAGGTGGTTGAGGAGGATGGAAATTTAGCAAGGTGGAAAGCCACCAGTGAGCTAGCCCTAATTTATATGTATATAATATATATATGTATATATATTTGTGTGTGTGTAAAAATATTTATATGTAAAATATATATATATGTACAATACCTTGGCTTATAAGCATAATTCATTCTGGAAACATGATTATAATCCAAAGCACTTGTATATCAAAGCAAATTTCCTCATAAGTAATGGATACTTAGACGATTCATTCTACAACTCAAAGGTATTCATATAAAAATGATTACAATACTGTAGTATAAAATAATAAAAAACAAAATATAAAGAAAAACAACCTGCACTTACCTTTGAAATCTTCATGGCTGGTGTGAGATGAGAGAGGAGGGTTATTGTGTAAGATGACTTACGGAATCACTGCTATCAGCTCAATGGAATCTTCTTTTGTGCAACTTCAATGAGGAACCTATCCAATCTCACTTGCTTTTGCTTTCATGTTGAGGATTTTGTGGAAATGTGACATTGTTAAACCAAAGAATTGTTAAACCAGCTCGTCACTTGCACTACTACAGCTTATTTGAAATGGTAGTGCATTTCTAAAAAGACTGTGCTGTTTCGTACATTTTACACATTTCCCTAATCTCATTTAAAGTGAGGGAATCCTCTGCCTTTTCCCCCTCCTCTGCAGACAAGATTTCCTTTATAACCTCTTGCGGTTGGGAGATGATCACCCACAATCCCCCAGAGGGAGGAAGAACCATTGCCTCAGTTATGATCATGTGATATTCAGCATCACATACTATTCATATTACACCTATCACTTGTTTATCAAGTTAAAATTTACTAGAAATGAGTTTGTTCATCTTTCAGAACACTTGAATAAGTTACTTGCAATCCAAGGTTTTACTGGGTTTTTTTGTTTTTATTTTTTGCAGTTCTAGGAACTGAATCCAGGGCCTCATGCATACTAGGAAATGCTCTACCAGTGTGCTATTTCCCCAGAACCCTCAACCATATTTTAGAGCTATGGAAACTATTAGGAAGTGCAAAGCCCTGACCTGCAGACCTGCCTGGGCTGGGCCTCTTCCTCCCATGTACAGTTATAGTTTGGGGATTGAGAAATTAAAGGCTTTCCTAGTACAGTATTCCCACACACTTCCCTCCCTGTGGCATGTTACCTTTTATGAGGCAATAGAGTGGTCTCACATGAGTAAAAAGAAACTTTTATGACATCTTTATGCTAGTAGATTTGGAAGTTTTGAAATGATGTGTAACTTAAAATCACCAAAATAGCAAAAAAATCAAAACCTCAAAAACATTTCAAGTGGAAAAAGGCAGGTGCCAGAGAAGATACATGGTTCAATTTATAGAAAATATCCAGAAAAAAGAAATCTTAAGAGACAAAGTAGATGAGTGGTGTCCTGGGAGTGGGAAGAGTGAACACTTGAGTGGCAGGAATGCCTAAAATGATTATGGTGATGATTAAACAATTTGGTTAACAAAGGGGAATACTGAAGAAAGGTGGGAATCTGAATAGGACCATTCAAGGACCTTGGAAATCTGCTAAATTATGTTAATTTAGGAGAATTATGTTATCTCCAGGGAGGCCTTCACCTCAGGCCTTCACCTCCAGGGAGGCCTTCACCTCAGGAGTGAGATGCCCACAGCTACAGTGTAGTTAATTGAAGTTGGAGCCTGGTGTCCTTAGCTGTGGTCTTGTCTTGTCCTTTGAGGCATCCTAACTTCACAGGCCACTACAGGCCTCAGCTGGGACCAGTGACAGAGGTTCACTTACTATGAATCCGCTGCCCATCTCTAGACAAGGGCTTAGGCCTTGGACAGACTCACAAATAAAGATGAAAAGACAATTGGTTAATTTAAATCCTGCTCAGAGCTGTTTCATAGTGGTCTCCATCACCATCATTCATCTTCTTAGTTACTTTCCTTACAGCTGAAACAAAATACCTGACACCCAAAGTTACAGGAGGAAAGGTTTATTTGGCTCACAGTTTGTTGAAGTTTCAATCTGTAATCAGCTGGCTCCAAGACAGGGTGGCATGGGAAAGGGGCATCACAAGAGGGGAGTTCATACCAGGCAGAAGGCAGCAAAAGCAGCAAATGACAAGTAACGAGCAACACTTTACCTTATATTTTATCTAGGTAACTGGAGTTAAGGGTAATTCTCACCTTTAATCCTAGCATCACACCATGTATTAACCCCAGCATCACATCCTTGATCCAGCACCACACAACCTATATGCAACCACCTCTGAAAAGCCCCAGCTGTGACCATATGAGGCTTTGGGGGGACAACTACATATAAGCCATAACTTTTTTTTCTGTACTAATTACTCTTGAACAAACTAGATCTCAAAACCATGTTTGCCTTTAAGTTCAGGCCCTGTTAGCTCTGCAACTTAGGTGGAGAAACCACGGCTAGAAGCTGGGATGGACCACAGGAGCCTTGCCAATAAGCCCAATAAAGATTAGTACCAGGATAAATAAGTAAAGATTAGTACCAGGATAAATACAATAAAGATTGTACCAGGATATCAGCACCCTGGCTTTGGGCCACTGATCTCCCTCTGAGAGGTATGACAACAGAATAAAACACAGACAAAATATATACACTATAGTTACAAAGGGCACTAGGATGGTCAAAGCCCTATGAAGGGCTAGAACAGTGTCCTTGGTCTTTATTAGGTGCACAGCACGATTGGGAGGTGTGCTGGTGGGCTGCAGGAAGCAGTGGGGTAAACTACTCTGGCACGGTCAAGGTCCAAGAATTGAGGAACAATGCATTTTTGGAAAAGCACACAGGTACAGATCATGGTTAACTGGTAACCTGATTGCTAACTGCAACTGCTGAGCTAGACGGAATTCGCATGAGTCAAATCCTCAGCTGCCACGTTATCTTGCTGTGAGGTGCCAGAACTTCACAGACTGCTAGCCTCAGTTCTGGACCTTGGCTTAAAGATTAATCTGTCCTTAAGCCTGCTGAGGGTCTTGCCACAAGTCAATTAGGCTTAGGACAGATTTTCAATTTATTTTTGGCCTAATTTATTTTATTTTATTTTATTTTTTGGTTTTTCTCCGGTACTGGGAACCGAACTCACGACCTTGCGCTTGCCAGG